TAGTATAGGGGTGCTTTTGTATTTGACCGGTGATCAGTAAGATCAGTATAGGGGTTATTATTATAGTCAATGGCCTTAATGGGATACATTTCTATTACTAGTATGTAATACTTGCATGTGATAAATGTTAGTCAATATTTTGGACAAGACACTTATAGAGTACGACCAATTGACTACGTAACTGCATAAATGAGTAACGGATGAGAATTTAATTAAATTAAATATATTTTCTTTATACTTTTCTATATCATACATATATGCATAGTTAGCCATTTATATATTAATACACATTCTATTATGCATAACTTTATATTATAGATAATTAATAATGAAAAAATATTTCAGCTTGCGTTGTGAGCAGTGGCGGAGCCACCCTTTGGCAAGGGTGGGCTCCAGCCCACTCTCATTATTTAAAAATTTATACCATATATTATATCTATATATAATTAGCCCCCCAAATAGTTTAATTTAGCCCACCCAAGTAATTTAGTTTAGCTTATCTATTAAAAACTTTATGTTATATTAGTTGAAGTTTATAATTTGTTGTTATTTTATGCTATTTTATGTTAATGAATAAAAAAAAAATCGGGGGCGCTGCCCCCGAACCCCCGTTAATATTAAGCCCACCCTGTCTCGAATTCCTGGCTCCGCCACTGGTTGTGAGTTTCTAATTCTCAGCTCCTTCCTTGATTGTGCATTTTCACTAGACGACAAACTGTTGCATACAACATGCAGCACCTTGTTTTTGACCATAATTATACACACTTTAAATAAAACTAGTTATAATATAATTAAATCATTATTTAATTATTGAGGGCAGCCATTATAGATTATATAATGTTTGATGTTTGACTCTAAATGTACTATATATATCTAACTGTCCAATTTCAATCATACATAACCAAAACATTCAGTTGATAAAACATACACACAAGTAAAACACACTAATTGAAGTATCTACATAAATATTATGGAATCTACGACGATGATTTTGTTAGTCTCTGCCATCTCTCTCTCGATTTCGATATTATTCGCATTCCTTTTCGGCCTCCACCACCACATGTTCTTCAACAAGAACAAATCCTCCGCCGCCGCCGCCGGCGGTCCCCTGCCGCCAGGAAACACAGGGTGGCCCCTGGTTGGGGAGAGCCTACATTTCCTGTGGGCGGGGTGCAAGGGCCACCCGGAGAAGTTCGTATTGGACCGTGTGGCTAAGTACTCATCCACTGTTTTCAAAACTCACCTTGTTGGCGAGAAGGCCGCCGTTTTGAGCGGTGCGAGCGGCAACAAATTCTTGTTCTCGAACGAGAACAAGCTCGTCAGGGCATGGTTCCCAAGTGGCATCGACAAAATCTTCCCATCTTCCACTCGATCTTCTTCCGAAGAAGAGGGCATCAAATTGAGGAGAATGCTCCACACTTTCTTGAAAACCGAAGCCCTCCGTCGCTACATCGGTAAAATGGACCGTATGGCCCAAAAACACTTCGAAGAGGGATGGGAGAACAAGAACGAAGTCGTCGTCTTGCCACTCGCAAAAGACTACACCTTTCAATTAGCATGCAGGCTTTTTGCTAGTGTCGAAGATCCTCAACAGGTTGATAGATTATCGAAGCCTTTCAATCTCTTGGCGTCGAGTTTGTTTGCAATCCCCATTGACTTGCCCGGAACACCCTTCAATAAGGGTATTAAGGCCTCCAAGATTGTCAGACAAGAGCTTCTCTCCATCATCAAACAGCGCAAAATCGATTTGGCCGAAGGGAAAGCTTCGCCTACTCAAGATATTCTATCGCACATGCTTCTCACCAGCGATGAAAACGGCAAATTCATGCAAGAGTTTGATATTGCGGATAAGATCTTGGGCTTGCTTATTGGAGGCCGCGATAGTGCCAGCGTTGCTTGCACTTTTATCGTCAAGTATCTAGCCGAGCTTCCTCATATTTACGACGGAGTCTACAACGAACAAATGGAGATTTTGAAATCAAAAGCTCCAGGCGATTCGCTCAACTGGGAAGACCTACAGAAGATGAAATACTCGTGGAACGTTGCTTGTGAAGTCATGAGACTTGCGACACCTGTCCCTGGAACTTTCAGAGAAGCCATTGTTGATTTTTCGTACAAGGGTTACTCTATTCCAAAGGGTTTCAAGCTATACTGGAGCGCCACCGCAACACACAAAAATCCGGAAATCTTTCCTGAACCGGAGAAGTTCGATCCATCGAGGTTTCAGGGAGCAGGGCCAGCACCCTACACTTTTGTTCCTTTTGGCGGGGGCCCGAGAATGTGCCCCGGGCTAGAGTACGCAAGATTCGAGATCCTCGTCTTCATGCACCACCTTGTCAAGAGGTTCAAGTTTGAGAAGATGATTCCTAACGATGGTAAATTTGTTGTCGATCCAATGCCGATTCCCGCCAAGGGTCTTCCTATTCGCCTCATCCCTCACGAAAAATAAGCCTTATCAACGTAAAAATCCGATAATTTTGTCGATTCTTTTATTCGTATCACTGGCTCCGATACTTTGAGTTGTTTTTGTTTCGATTTGATTTCTCGGAATCTCGTACCTTCATGATGAATTATTGTGAGTTGTAACTATTAAATTTCTTAAAAGAAAACATTTAAATTTTATTTGGATACATTTTATTTGTGTTGTCCTTTATTTTGTTATTTTCAAAATCTTTTTACCAAGCTAAAGATGTTAGACATTCACCAAGAGTTGTTCATAAGTGGGTACAATTTATTACCAATATCCAAAATTCATTAATCAATAGCCAGAGTTCAAAGTTCAAACTCAATGGAAACTAATTAATTTTTCAAATTTCGAATTTGAAAAATAGATTAATTCTCTAAAGAAAGTGTGCGAAAATACGTCTCCAGTCGCATTGAAGCAAGTTTGGAGATATTCCTCGTCTATCCCATTATGGAGGTCACCGGCCCAGATCGTGTGATTCTACCCGTTCGATCCTCTCCCATTGCCATCGCCGCTCTGATGATGCTGCGACGAAGGCTGGTGGTGGTGACGGTGGTAGAACCGTGGAAGCCGGGGCGGATCCAGGATGAAAAGTTAGGGAGCGGGTTAAGTTTTCGAGGTTCTCTCGAAAAAAAATTTGGGTTCACACGCTGCAAAAAGAAGTTTATATTGTTAAATTTTAATTCAAATAGTACGTATTCTTGTCATATTTCAAGAATTAAAAAAAAAACTAATTAATTTAAATCATTCTAATAATGGATTGCATTTAATTATTGTCATATTTTAAGGATCCAAAAAAACTAGGGGCCATTAGATATATATCATTCATATGGAAAATATATAGGGATATTTACACCCCTAAAATTTTTTCTTTGAGATATCTGGAGAGACAAAAGTACTATTATGCCCTTGTTTGCAATTTTCGCCCAACTGTATTCAATATTTTTGCAAACTGCATTCAGCATCATTGGTCAGCTGCATTTAGCATTTATGGCATTTTTATTGATTTATTTAATAAAAAAATATAAATATTTATTTTATTATTATATTTTGTAAATACCCTCTTTTGTATTTTAGTATTTTTTTTAACTTTTTTTATTTTTATTTTTTTAATTTTTTTTTTAAATTTCGAATTGTTGATAAATTTACTGCACTGAAATTGATTACACATGACTATAGTATACCACAGTCATGTATAGTTAGTTATATGAAGTCATGTATAGTCTTTTAACCACAAAGTCATGGTAAACCGTTGATTATATATAAAAAAAAAAAAAAAAAACTACGCCCAACAAAAATTGAAAAAAACACAATAATCAATCACTATACATCAGAAAAATCACATAACTTGTATATAACTATATATTGCTACATAGAACTATACATGACTATAATTATCTATAGTCATCTATACGACTACATTTGACTCAAATCCCACTTTTTAATACGAGAACGGCTTGTTTTGAACGACGAACACAAAGTCCACTCCGCAAAAACTTACTACATAGTAGTTCAAACACCAGGACCTGCAAAAAAGAAAAAAAGAGTTAAACAAACAACGAATTTTGCTTCAAATTTGAATCTGCACACATACACACATAAACTTACTACATAGTAGTTCAAACACCAGGACCTGCAAAAAAGAAAAAAAGAGTTAAACAAACAACGAATTTTGCTTCAAATTTGAATCTGCACACATACACACACACATACTATCACTTACTGACATGCATATACATGACCAACATATACTCCCCACATAACTCATACATGACTACATATTACTATATGTTACTATATAATACAAATCATAAATCATACACACACTATCAGTACTTACTGACATACATGCACATCACCAACATATACTCCCCACATAACTCATACATGACTACATGTTACTATATAATACAAATCATAAATCATAAATTTCAAGAGGTAAATCATAAAATTGGACCTAAAAGATTCACGAAGCATACAAAATTTTCATTTAATTACGTCACACATGTCATTCAAATGGCGGAAAAAAA